ACCCTATCAGATGGCCAAAATACCTGGTCGGGTATTCTAGTCGGGTATGTTGCAGTTTCGAGTCCCCTATCTTTGATTTTTCGTTTCTCCCTCGTTCGGACTCCAAATCAGGTGTCGTTTGATCCCAGACGCTCATAGTCTCGTCCTCTTTATGGTCAAAAAAGCAGATAGAAATCTATTCTTCTTCAACTCATACCGAGTTTCTTCCCCCGAGTCGCCAATTGATCTCCGATTGACTTGAAACTTGCGCCTACGCTTCACTTTATGTGCTAGGACATGAAATGTGACAAAGGAACATAACCTAGCGTAAAATAGGCCAAAGAAGCGATAATGCAAGCTTAAAAGATAAAGAAACAAAGGGAAAAACATGTGGAAATATCGAGTCATCAGACCACGGGAATTAAATATCGTGCTAGTCGATATCGCATCATTATAATCAATTTGTCACGTGCATTCGTGTAATTGGTAGCAGCTTATGATCCCATTTATCCATCAAGAATGCTCCCAATTGATCCTTATATCGTTGAATTTGAACCTTCATTTTTAGACAACAGGAATTAAATATCGTGCTAGTTGATATCGCATCATTATCCATTGATCGCTTTACATCATTATTGTCCAAGTTGGGAGTATATGATATATACTCGCCAGCTTGTGGGAGGGTAACAAGGAGGATGGAAGATGGTTGCTCTCCAATCACTATGAATTGCTCAACAGCAATGGGGATATGCAGCTCTGCTCCAGAACAGGAAGAAGAATTGAAGAAGAAGAAGAAGAAGAAGAAGAAGAAGAAGAAGAAGAAGAAGAAGGAGCAGAGCAAAACGGCATCGCTAAGGGAAAGCACTGAACAAAACGGTGCACTTCAGCAACGGAAAGCCTTTTCAATTTAACGGTACAGCTTTACACGTGTTAGATTGTAAATGGTAGATTTAACAGTTAGTTGTAATTAGCCGTTAGAATACAGTGATTAGTGAAACTCTGTATATATATCGATTGATCATCAATGGAAAGCTCATCGAGCATTTTCCCCCACATCTGGTTTCTTCTCAAGGAGTCCCAAAATAATATATGTGATGTTCAAACCAAGAGAATCATAATAGAGAGACTTTTTTGTTGATCTGGAATAAGTAACTAGTTATTGATTCGTCTGATCCTACTAGTGTTGTAGAAACTTCAAGTGGTCGTTTGTTGTTAGGATTTTGCAATCTATTTGTACGTGGGAGAATTGAGATATTAATGTTATAGTTATGGATTTTCAGTTTTTTATACATATTTCATTAAAACCGGCATTAACCAGTTGTGCCACGGTTGAACTATTTTACTTCCGAAATCGGCACACGGACGTAAATCAGTTTGGCAACCTTGGCTGGGGTAATTTTAATAATAGTTGTGTATTTTTTTAGGGTCCCACTGGACCGTTGGAGAATTTTATCCTATTAGTTTATGATTCAATTATACGTCCATTCGGCCACTAATGTACAATTTTCAAGATAAAATTTATTAGTTAGTTGGACTCAAACATTTCGGTTGCCTACGTACCCGTAACACATTATCAAAGTTCATGTAGTGCGCTTAACTTTGTTGTTTTAGTTATAATCACGTTCCACTTATCGTGATTATTGAATAAATGATTGTTTTAGAGAAATATATATATAAAGCGAATAATAAGTTCAGTTTTTGTAACATGAAGAAAGGTTTTAAGTATTTGAAAAAGAGTGGAATTGACCTAACTTAGAGATTCTTTTTGCGTATACAATTTTGTATTAAGGGTGTTTAAAATATAATAATGTGAACACACTAACTTAACAAATAATTTAGTCATAGACCAACTAGTCTGCCTGTTGTGACGACTATCCTCACCAGCCGGAGATAATGGGTTTGAACCCCAAACCAACCTCTCTTTTCTTTCATTTTTTTTACAAAAGAGGAAGAGTAGTACGATAATTGCTCAAAAACACAGTGGCGGCCATATTATGATAGAAAGTGCATACATCTCCTATCATTATCGTCGAAATACCTTGCATTTGTGTTATGATTGCTTCAAGTGTTTTAGCAACCCTAAGTTTCTTTTATAAATATTGATACACTTCTTGTAGTGTTTTGTACATTTTTAGATCAAAGCAGACTAGTGGACCACTTGGCAGCCGTAGGGGACATCGAGATACAGATGCAGAGTCATGATTCGAGGAGAGAACGTGTTAAAGATATGGCACCCAAAACACCATTTTGGGGAAGGAAAATGGTGCCACTTTCGTCGTTTCACAAAGCTCAAACACTTCGTCAAAAAGTTATCCTGAAGCATTCTGATTCCCTGGCCACTTGTTTGGAGGCTTCTGATTGGCTGGATGACGCTGGAGCGGCATACTTATCTCTCTAAAAAGCCTAATCAAAGGCCTATAAACAGGTCTCTATAGATAGAATTTAGTGAGAAGATATGAGAGGCCGAGGAAGGGTCGTTACTCTGCCAACAAAGAAACCCTCCTAACTTAGAACGAGACTAGCCTTTGAGAGATAATGGCTTCCAAAATCGTGCCCCTTAGCCTGTTTTCTCTATTGTTGGTGTTGTTTCCTATGGGCATTATGGGGTCTTATTTCAATCGATGAACACCTCCCAACCCCTCCGCTAGGGGTTCTAACCATGTAAACTCGATGTTTGGTTTACTATGATTGTGATTATTACATATGTTTGATTTCGTTTTTTTTTTTTTTTTGTCGATTCAAATGAGAGCTTAGTCGACCTTCCACTCCTTTGAGGTGCAAAGATCAAATTCCAAGTCGCTTAGGATGGGAATAGAAATAGCAGTCCTAATAGTTCAAACGGCGTGACGCCGTAAGGGAAAAATCTTCAAGATCCTTGTCGCCTATTAGTTTGGGTAAATGCTTCAACACAAGGTGGGTTCTAACAAAATAAGAAATCGGCAGCACGTTTGCCGCTATTCATCGAGGCACACATGGTTATGAGACATAGGGGAACTTTTCTATGCAATGCCTTCCTTCTATGATCTCTCACTTGTCCATTAATGTAGGTTTAATTTTTCTTCACCGCTTTACCTTTTCGAACTCTTATGATCTGCAAAATCGGAGGCACCTCAACCTCCTAAACCAACCTCTTCTTCAATAGAACAATACCTCGCTTCCTGAGTAAGGGTTCTACGAGAGGCCCTAGGGAAATACGATCATGGCCTTAGGGCCATGTAAATTTGACTATGTTCAACAACATATCACAAAGTTCAATTGTGGGGTGTTTCTGATGACACTTTATTTATAATGTTTATCACTCTCATATTTTATACATTCTCCTCTTTTATTGAAGCATCTTTAGCCAATTCAATGATATATCTCGTCTAAATCGAAACTAAAGTATAATGCCTCGGGTACCACTAAAGTATGAGAATTGGGGAAGCTATACCACTTAACTAAGAATAGGGCATCGCGTACCGCTGAACTTTATTATATGTGCGTCCGGTACCACTTAAGTTTACCGCTAAGTGCATAGCGTTAAAGTTGACAGAATATTCTAAATTTCATAATTGATCCTTCTACTTTTTCTTATTGTAAAAAAACCATTTGGACTAATGAAAAAATCATTATAGTTTAACTGGAATCCTCTTTTGAATATTTGATACCAAATCAAATTTTGAATAGAAAATTTTGAATCAATTATCATTATAATTATTTTCAATTATCAGTATGTGTTCTTATAATTGAATAATTTCCTGAAGCAAATATATCTTATGAATTCTATCTCGATATAAATAATCTGAGAATATTATATTTAGTTCTCTTACATCATCGTGATGTTGTCAAATTTTTCATGTTAAATCTCCCTTTGATTCTCTAATATTGTATTGTAGATGTTTCATATTAGTTAAATTTAGTAATTCTAATTATCTTCCTATAAGCATATTTTCTTTTCTATATTTTTACTGAATGTTGTAGTTTTTATAGTTTATTTATTACTAGGTTACTTTCTATCTCTTTTCATTCTAAATATTTTTTCCAATTACTGGAATATATTTTATTCATTATGATTGTGTTCCATATATCTTTCTTTGATTTTGATGTATTGATGATCGATTAGGTTCTTTTTAACGATTTCTAATGGTGCTTTTAATGGAATTAGGGTGTTTAAATAGATATTGTAATATTAATTTTAAATATTTATTATTATATTCTATTATATTTATAATTTTCTTAATATTTTTTTAACATTTTTACTAATTTATCTATTTTATTGAAATCTTTTGATTAGCCATTTTAGTAATAATATGTTTAGAAGGTTTTCTAATTTTTATATTAGATCAAACTTGTTGAAATATAGTTTTGAATATTTTTAAAAGTTTTAGGTACCAAAAAGTACATTAGTATTTTGGGTTGGATGGAAAAGTAGACGGATGCACATTTTGTCGACTTTAATGGTACCCGATGCCCTATTCGAACTTAAGTGGTATGTCTAGCCCAATTCTCAAACTTAAGTGGTACCTGAATCATTTTATCCTACTATTTGATGCCTTCTTAGTATACTTTTGATGGTTATGAAGGTACAAAGAAACCTAAGGAAGATTGGATCAAGCATTGAGGAACTCTAGAGGACCAAATGAGCTATCAAGAGTTTAAGGAGTTTTCACAAAGAATGAGTGGTCCAATGATAGAGAAATCAACTAGAAGTTGTTAGATTGTGTCAAGACAAGTTCATAGAATGAAAGCACGAGCCATTTTGAAGCAAGAAAGAGTTATGGTCCAAGCAAAGGATCCAACCGCCGCTACCCAAAGTTGTAACCCAAATCATCTGAAATTAAAGTCCTGGATCAAAAAGCCCAAATCACAAATAACATAACAGTGGGCCCAACCAAAACAACGTCGTCGTCGCCTCCCCTTTTCCTTGTTGACGAAGTTTTTATAAGTCTACTAGGTCTAAGAGACACTTTCCTAGTGGATTTAGGTTGTTTTAAGTCGAGTTCTCCCTATAAATAGAGGGCATTACTCCATTGTAATGTAAGGATGCACAAACACAAAAATCTCTATAACAGTCTACATGATTGCATAGTCTAGTCGAAGTAGAGGGATAGACGACCAAGGAGATTATGTCATCATCAATGGTGGAACCTTCCTTCTCCTCTATGTAGCTAGTCAACATTAATCGTATTAGGATGTGATCTTGTTTATTGTTATGTGAATGAGTGCCATGATTTCATCTCATGCTTATGTTTGTCTATGAAGATTCTGATGCCTATGATGATCATTGATGCTTTATTGTTTTTTCTGCTTGTGATGGCAATTTATGTTTCTATAGTGTGAATGCTTTTGATACCATTGATGTTTATGATTCTATTGTTTGTTACTATATTCATTGTGCTTAGTATTGCCTAGATTGTCGAGAAATTACCTTTTAGGGATATCCCATTGATGCTACACGAGTATGAGAGGATTGATCACCTATCTATGCTTTGAGTAGTATCAATGCTTGATTGTTAGATCATATATGCTACATGCTATAGTTATGGTTGGTGGAAGCCCACAATTAACCATATTATATCCTAACTTCATTGCTCTTCATTGATTAGGTAGTGGCATAAAGCAAAAGCACGCATTAGCTATATCCTAACTTCATTGCTCTTCATTGATTAGGTAGTGGCATAAAGCAAAAGCAAGCATTAGCTAGTTAAATCTCTATTGCAAGAAGTGCATGCACGGGTTGAGAGTGGTCGTAGAGGAAGGGATAGGGTATTACAATAAATAAATCATCGATGCTTGATTTGAACGATCCCTAGTTTGCATGATCTTATTCGAGTTCATGATCTAGTACAATAGCATATCTTTACTTTTATGCATCTGTAACTCAAAAACTCCTAAACAATTTTACTCTTCTTGCTTTGCTTATTTGTCTTTGATTATCACGTATGTGTTGATGGTTGGCATGAGCAGTTATGCATTAGAAGACCTCGAGGAATACGACCCTAGCACATCTAGAAATTTATAACCTGATCTCGCATCAGAGTGAAGAGAAGTTTGGAAGCATAAAGATGAAATTAGTAACCATTAAGAAAAAACTCCAAAATATCCCACCACTCCCAAAGTCCAGGGAAGTTATTGGGCAAAGTAAGATGCTTGAAGCGAAAAAAATCATACTTGAACTATAAAACCTAACTGATATGGAGGTAGCGATCTAGAGTGGAATGGCTCCGGGTAGGAGATAAAAATATAAAATTTTGTCATGCTAAGGCATCTGCAAGACAAATGGGTAATACTATTAAGAGGTTGAAAGACAAGAATGGCAAAATATCAGAAGGACAAAAGGAGGTTAGGGAGTGTAAAGAATTATTCACCAGTGAGATTGAGCAGAATTCAGAGATAGTTATCCAAGATATTGAGGCAAAGGTTACGAATGATATGAATCAAGTCCTTATCGCCCCTTTTCATGACGATGAATTGGATCATGATCTAAAACAAATGGGATCATTTAAAGCCCTTGGATTATATGGTTTATCAACAGCTTTCTAACAATAACATTGGTTTCACATTGGACCTATGGTTTAAAACTTGGTTTTACAGTTTCTCAATGCCAACTACATCCATGTTGAGGTTAACCATACTCTCCTAGTTTAATTCCTAAGTATAAGAACCCATCATCTCCTGAAAAGTTTCGCCCCATCAGCTTATGTCGTGTGCTCTACAAACTTATCTCTAAGGTACTTGCGAACCAACTCAGAATCATCCTTGATGTACTTATTTCTGAAATCAAAAGCGCTTTTGTCCTGAGATGACTCATAATAAATTATGTTATTTCAGCCTTTGAGTATTTTCATTGGAAAATAAAAGAAAAGGGTAGGAAAGGCCTCTTTGCTACAAAACTCGACATGACTAAGGCCTATGATCGAGTAGAGTGGAGCTTCATTTAGAAGGTTATGAGGAAACTTGGTTTCCATGAACAATGGATTCTGCTTTCATGACATGTGTATGGTCGGTTTCTTAATCAGTTATAGTTAACATTAAAAGATCCATGACTTTCAACCTACTCATGGTTTGAGACAAGGCGATCACTTATCATCATACTTGTCTCTTATATGAAAGAAAAGAGTTTCATTCCTTTTAAAAAAAAGGCATAAAAGTGTGGTTTTCTTGATGATATCAGAATTTTTAATAAAGATCCTATTGTCTCACACACGTTTTTTGCTTGTGATAATTTTCTTTTTGCTAGAGCTACTAAGGAAGAATGATATGAAGTAAGAGAAATTTTGAAGATATATGAAGTGGAATCAGGTAAGAAGTTGAATCTTAGAAAATCGGAGGTAACTTTTAGTAAGAATATTGAAGGAGACAGAAGAAATGAGATATATGAGGTTCTGGGGATCAAAGAGGCCAATATGACAAATATCTAGGACTCTCAATCCTAATTGGTAGGGGTGTTCAAATGGTTACCATGGTTATTACCAAATCAAATAAGATTAAATTTCATTAACCATAGAATACAATATCATAACCAAACCGTCCAAACTAACACAACAACCAAATTAACCAAACTAAAGTTTAATCGGTTTGGTTAATTGGTTAACCAGATTAACCAATATAAAATCGGGTTAATTCTCTAAATGTTGTTTTTATTTATTTACCACGAATATAGTGGTTAAAAACTATTTACAAGAATGTTTTTTGGTATGTTGAAAGCGCTCAAGCCTTAGACTCAGGCGCGGCCGCTAGGTGATGTTTTTTCAATAAAATCCAGTGGCGACGCCCGAGACTGGGGCTTTGGTGGTTGAAAAAAAGCAAAAGCGGCGGCACCCCAGACTGAGGCTTTGTCGCTGCCTTCTTTTCTTCCACTCCATCACCATATATACTCCACCTTTCCTTTGGTTCTTCACCACCAAAAAACTGAAAGAAGTTCCGAAAGAAGCTCTGGTGTTGTTGTCTGGTTGCTGGGAAGATGACTAATAATAGGTAAGAGACGTATTTATTTTTTTAATGTATTCTTTATAATGATTTTGTCCAGTTAGTAATTAGTGAGTTTGTTTTTTATGTAGTGGTTTTAGAAGATTTGAACTGGCTGTTCGGTGGAAATCAGAGAAAGTAGAGGACAATTTGGGTGTCCATTTCGTAGGTGGTGTAAGTTTTCAGATGACTATTCCATCCAGGGTGAACTACCAGAAACTTTGTGATAATCTTCGGAGAATACGGCGTAGAGACGAAGCAGTACAAGATAGTGTTGTGATTACAGGTTTCACTTACTGTCTTATAGAATGGCAGAATGGTGTTTTATTTCATTATGAAATGCCTATTATCGATGATGATAGCTTAAATGTGCTTTGGAATTTTATGGCGCAAAATCCTTATTGTTTGGGTGCTGAGATACATGTTGAGCTCAGTGAGGATCGGGGTGGAGAGGAAGAAGATGAAACATTGAGCATGCCATCCGATCATGACTATGATGACGGTGATGACGGAAAGGAGGAAGACGATGATGAGGAGGAGGACGACGACGACGACGACGACGGGGAGGAAGGAGAAAAACCTAATTATCCTCCATATTTTTACTTGCAGGGTAAGTAAGAGGACGAGGAATTATCATATGCTAATTCATACGGCGTAATTCCAAGGCCTATTGTTGGTGGATTTGATGGAGAATTCTACAAGGGGCAAATATTTCACTCGAAACAAGCTGCACAGGTGGCGATTAAACACTATGCACTACAATGCAACTTTCAGTATAACGTGGTGGAGTCGTCACCTTCAATCTGGAAGATCAGATGTTTGGTGCACAAGGTGGACAAATGCCCTTGGATGGTGTGATTTGGATGTCGAGATGTGGGAGGATTGGAGCGTGAGAAAGGCCGAGTTGGTGCATACTTGTAGCAGTACGACTCAACCGACAGATCATCGCCATCTTGATGTCGACGTTATATCTGAGTTCGTGAAACACTTGGTACGTGCTCAACCAAATTTGAGTGTTCTAACTGTACAGACCTAGTTGAAAGATAAGTTTAATATGCAAGAAGGATTGGTATGGGAAACAAAGAGCATTGGAGAAGTTGCATGGAAATTGGGAAGAATCCTACGATTTTTTGCAAACATTCTTGCGGGTGGTCAAGAGAAAAATGCCAACATTGGTGATTGATTGGGTAAGAGTACCTTCGACTCAACCAGGTCATTCGATATTTCAGCGAGTATTATGGGCTTATGGACCTTTTATAGATGGATTGAAGAATTGTCCAGGTGTCATGGTTGTTGATGGAACATTTCTTACTGGGAAGTATAAAGGAGTGCAACTGATCATCTTGCTGGCCTCCTATCCCGTGGAGGCAACTGATCATCTCTCTCCGCCACATCATCCTGATCCTATGTGCCGAATATATCATCCACTTGAGACTGAACCTGCTCATCTGGTGGACTCTCTCGTCGTTGCTGCTCATATGCCCACTGTGATGTCTGGAAGGCCGCCTGAGACTGAACCTGCTCACCTAGACGCTCCCACTCATCGGCGTCCAAATGTGGCACGGCTGCACTACCTGATGATCTGAGTACCTCACTCCTCGAGGTACATCACGCTTCTCACGTCGTTGTCTCCTCCTCCTGGGCTCCTCCGTGAACTGTGGCGGTGGCACGCCCCAGTCCGATGGCTGAGCCCTACACTCTGGCCAGATGGCTAAGCCGCGCTCATCAGGATACCGCTGTATCAGCTCTGTATCAATGCCAACGATCACTAAATCCTAAAGCTGTAACCCCTGCTGCCAACTGGTCAGCAAACTCTCCCATCTGGTCATAGGACAGCCCTCCTGCTCTCATCCCATAACGTAAACCCACCTCAACGGACTCCATATAGTCGTACTGCAAATTAAATGTAAAATATCAGAAATTCTACACATCTAAAAACAATTAAAACGCAAATTTTAATTAATAAAAAACTCACCGCTGCGTTCAGTGCAGCAACTCTCTGTGTGCCTGAACGTCTAGTGACATCTCTATACCACTCTCGATGCTCCGAGTGGTAAGCTAAAGGTACGTCAGTGTAGCTCGTCCGTGCGATGAACTCATATCGACGGTTCCACAACTCAATCGACTCGCTGGCTGCCTGTATGAACTGTTGGCCACGTGATGGCCCATGCTGGCCCTGACGAAGGAAAAACCTAATATCAGCCGCAGAATGTGGAGGATGAGGTCGGTCCTGAATGATCCCAAACTTTCCGAGCACGCGATCTAGATGATGCCACATCTGCGATGAGAAAAAGATCAGCGGAAATACTGCTCAAAACGTGCCGGACTGGATCACAGTACTGATGTAGTCCTGACCTCTACGAAAGTACGGACGCCACTGCACACAAGGATTGGTCACATAAGTACTCCTAAATCTGTAACAAATAAATTAAAACAATTCTATAAAACAAAATATTATATACTAACCACGAATGTCGTGCACTCGTCAAACCACAACTTGTACAGGTAGAACTGATCTCCAAGCTGACGGATGTGGGCCGGAAGCCATCGAAGGCCACGTGGCACTGCGTCCTGAGTAATCTGCGCACCCGTCTCCGCATGTAGTCGTGTTGTATGAGGAAACCGCTCCCACGTCCAGATCATCGGCAAGGCAGACCATCCACCAAAGTCACCACCCAGTGAAGAAGATGTCGTCATCTGCAGCGCCGATCTACCCATCTCACGGTACAAGTAGGATAGCACAGCTGCTCCCCAAGAAAACCTCCCCACTCTGCCCCAATCCTCCGCCAAAAGTAGGTACTGCAGGTGAACTGAAACTCCAGACCAATCGAAGAACAAGACACCTCCCATCAGAGACAGCGCATACGCTCGTGCAAACTGCTCTATAGTCTAGGGTGATGCAGAAAGCGGTAGCTCATTAAAAGCCTCCCTACGCCAAGAAATCTTAATGACGTCGCCGCCAAGATCAGTAGAAGCCCTTCCTAAAAGTCGAAGACACATAGCCGACCAGTCCTCGTCTGGTATGTCTACTACGACGGCATCACCGTCGACCGCTAGACCGGTCAGTGTTGCAACTACGGATGACAACAAAACCTGAACCCACGGGTACCCACCAGACCCAACCCGGTCAACGCGGGTAAAACCCATGTTGACGGGTTTTGGGCCGGGTTTGGGTTTAAACCCGCTACACTATGCACTGGGTCGGGTTGGGTTTGGGTTTAGGTAAACCCGCCCCATGGGTACCCGCCCAAACACATATAATTACTTTCCCGATATATTTAATACTCTAAATAATATATCTTCCTTAAACAATTAATATTCTTTATGTTTGTGGAGACATATATAATTTGTTGTTTCTAATTGTTTAGAATGAAGTTGATATTATGAAGTGGAGAGTGAAGAAACTTAGTTGACGAGTAAGAAGCTTTCAATTAATCTTATTGTTTATAGATGTTTATCTTTAATTTTGAACAATCTGTATTCATCATTTGCGGTTTGCTTGTATGCTCTAGATTGGTGTTTTTTGTATGAATAATTTGTATGAGAAAATTAATGTTAAACTTTTATTTTGAAAGAAACTTGTTATTGTAAATTTTTTACCACAAAAACCCACGGGTACCCATGAACCCGCGGATACCCAGCGGGTTGGGTTGGGTTTGAGTTCTTCAAACCCAGCGGGTTGGGTTGGGTTTGAGTTCTTCAAACCCAAGCGGGTTTTACCCCGGGTTTTTTTGGCGGATAAACCCATGGGTTTGGGTTTGGGTTTGACAAAACCCGCCCCAACCCGACCCATTGCCATCCCTAGTTGCAACGTCCACTAGGGTGATCGTCACCTCACCGAACAGCATGTGGAAGGTCGATGTCTTGGGTCGCCAACGCTCTACGAGCGCAGTAATCAAACCCGCATCACCGGTAAGAGGGGCTAGTGGCAGAACACTAGACAAGCCCACATCGACGAGATACGGCAGGTAAAGTGGATGGTATCGTACTAAATTGCTCGTATGACGAATGTGGTAAGGTCGATCACCAGCCTATAATGCACAAAAATTTTATATTAATTCAATTCACCTAACATTTATATTTATATATCTAAACTAAACTTACTCTAATACTACAAGTAATTTAATCTAATTCTATTCGTAGTTTAATTTAATTCTATTCGTAATTTAATTTAATTAAGACCTATTCATAATTTAATTTAATTCTATTCGTAATTTAATTTAATTCTATTCTATTCTATTCAGCTAATAAAAAAACTATAGAAATAGTTTGAAAACTTACCTCGTTTGCCCAAACTGTGTCAATACGATGGTGACCATGCCCCCAAAGAAGTTCCGGATCCACCGGAGCTGTATCGATTGTCCCAGGTGGTGGTCTCATCGAAAAAGGATCCATAAGCCTAGGAACTGGAAAAAAAATTAGAACATAAAAAAAATGCCGCAGGCGGCGAGAATCTGGCCACGGCCACACTTACCCCTGTAGTGTTCGCCGCCGCCACGACGCCCTCGCCGCCCTCTGCCGGGCGCCTGCTCGTCGTCGTCGGACATTGCGGGGAGAAGCTAACAGATCTGTCGGGGAAGATGAGAGCGACGGTGCTTTGGGTACGGCGGCTACGTCGGGAAGTTGGCGCGGCCGCTTGAGATTGGGGCGCCGCCGTTCTTTCTCTCGGTGTCGTCGGTGGGTTGGAAGTGAGGAGGACAGGTGTGGTGTGGTGGTGTCTGGCGAGATAGCGAGAGTGAGTGGTGAGGAAGAAAAAGATAAGAAGGAAAAGGAAGGTAGCGACGGCGCCCGAGACTCAAGCTTTGGCGCTACTGAAATTTTTCGAAAATTTCAGTAGCGAAAAATTTCAGTAGCGCCAAAGCCTGAGTATCGAGCGCCGTCGCTACCTTCCCCCTTCAAAACACAATATTCTTGTAAATAGTTTTTAAACCACTATATTCGTGGTAAATAAAAAAACAATATTTAGGAAATTAACCCTATAAAATCATATTATCATTTAAGTTAGAAACATTTTGCTTAATTTCTCAATTCACAATTTATATAATGAATAAAACATAACAATGCACACATACTTATAGTTGACCCTTGGGATTTTTCCAGAAATAGCACCTTTTAAAAAAATTACTAAAATAGCACCCATCCGAAAAAATTTACATTAATAGCACCCTTTTTAATGGACCGCACCTTAGAGGTGTGTTTTATACATAAACCGCACCTCTAAGGTGCGTTCCCTATTTCTGTGCCAAAACCGCATTATGGCCAAGCGGTTTTAGGTCTGACCTACAGAAACCGCTTGGTCGAGGTGCGGTTTTGGCCTGACCTATTAAAACCGCACCCTCATGGTGCGATTTTGCCATACAAACCGCACCTTGGAGGTGCGGTTTTGGTCAATCAATTTCCGACATACCATGCAGACGTAACAGACGTGGGTCTGCATGGGCCTGCATGGCAGACGAAAACTGCACCTCTAAGGTACGGTTTTCATCAGTGATTTTGCCTATAAAAGGCCTTCCGGACAACCACTTCTCTTCACACCTCTCCTTCTCCCTTTTCAATTTTCTGTTGTAGCTCTATATTTCTTTAGTAGTTTTTCGATTAACGTTACCTCGTAAGTTTATTTAGTATTATTTTTTATTGTTATTTTTTATTTTTTATTTTTATGATATTAACTGAACTACGATTTTATCGTAGATGGCATTCCAAAAGTTCACGCTTGGCTTACGGTGGAATGGTTACACGGAAGAGACCGGAAAGGGGGTCACCTACGTAGGTGGCAATTTTCAGAAGATAAAGGTCGCTACCAGACCGCTGCTTGAAGACCTCCATCAAATGTGCACTAACGTTACTTGCATGGATGGCACGAGAAGAGTTGATCGTATGGTGTACCGATATCCAAACAGAGAAAGTGGGTCATTGTGGCATGAGGAATATCTCATAACCACTCAGGATGAGGTAGATGCCATGCTCGAATTCATGAGGTCCAACAATATTTCCAAAGCCGAGATGTTCGTTTACACCGAGCCGGTCGTAGGCGTTGGAGGTCATTCTGGACACGGTAAAACATCTGGTATCCATGGTGGAGGTGAATTATATGGTG